GTTTTCAGCAGAGGACAGAGATCATTTCAAAATGTTGATTGGGGGTTTTGATGCAGATGGTATAGGTAGTGTTGTACCTGATGGTGATGCTTATTTATATTCTAGAGTGTTGTTAATTTTTAGATGAGATGGAATGCCTATAACTTGTGAATTTAATAGTTGAAGCGATCCATCTGATATTGTGTGTTTGCCTATATAAAGAGTTTTTGCACTGTATTGATATTATTAATATTGTATCTTTGTTATTACTTTCTAGAAGAGATCAATTGGAGTTTTCATTTTTCCCATTGCATTCGTGCTCATTAGGTATGGATGGCCAGTGCTTTATGAGTTAGAATATTCAGAAATAGTATTACTTTAGAGAGTGCTCTTTGATTGCTTCTAGCTTTAATTGAATTTATAAAATTGGCAGCTGTAGTAAGAGTGCATTGAAATGCATTCTTGAAAATTTCATGAGGAATTACTGCATTAGAATATGCTACATATCTCATATTTTTTTGTCTGCTTTGTAGTTAATTCTCTCTGTGTATACTTCTTAACGATAATGATACTGCTCTACAAGTCAAATTTGACAGATAAATATTTTAGAATTATGGTATCATATTGGTACCTACATACAATTAAATGAAAATATGACCCTCAAATAGGATGCAAGGAGAAAAGGATTCATGTAGTCGATCCACTTAGTGCGATAAAGGCTTGTTATTGTTGTGGTATCATATTGGTGAGTATTGTGTGTTAGAAGGCATTTTTATTGTTGTGAAGAATGCTGAAGTTTCAAGCAATTTTAGCACAATTAAGAATAATATGATTTTTTTTTTGAAAAACTCCAAGTTGGGAAAGCACACCAGGATAACTTCTTGTTCCTAAGATTTGATGGTAGTTAAAATTGTCATGGAAGTATCCCTCCAGGCAGCTATATGGATTTCAGTACAACATGCATATTACAAGTTCATGAAGGCATCATCGAGGCTGTGTGGATTGGCCACAAGTACAATAGAAGCGTACAAAGGCATGGTGGATTACGTCTCTAGACTGCAAGATAGCAACATCTCTCAATAGTGTCAACATGTACTAATTTTTGTCTCTTGCTAAAATATTGATCATCATATGGTTTGTAGATTATTGTGACAAGGTAAGCTTTTGCCTCAGTTGTTGTGATGAGATCTACGAACGAAGAGCGTAACGGGCAAAATGATTGTCATTGTCAAAATAGAGTCGGAGATATGTGTTAGACCGTCGCTTAAGGACAATTTAATTTTTTATTAGTTATTATTGTAGGGGATAAATAGGGTTTATTATGCTTAGGGTTATGTTCTGCTATGAGATTGTTGTCTTGTGTGTTAGGATTAGGACTTGGGCGAGATCGCTACGTCTCGAATTGTGGGTGTTAGGGTTAAAGTTTGGGAGAGATCGCCTAACTCTTAATTTGTAGGTGTTTATCTTTATGTATTTGAGATGTGTTTCTTGGTATTATTGAAATAAAATATTTACTTTCCTTGATTTTGGTGGAGAACTAGTATTGGTTGCTATCAAATTGATATCAAAGCATTCGATTCTGGGAAGATCGCGAGGGAACAAAGAGCTCAGGAATCACGACATACAGAATCGTGAAGTACAAGAAGTCGCGAGAAACAGTCGCAATTGAGAAGCAAAGACGTGATCATGGTGATACTATGCAAACGAGGGATTGCGACAAACAAGGAGGATTGAAAGCGCGATAGAGACCTCTATATCGTCTTGATCCAAAACGTGGCGTCAAAACCTCACGATACATTCGAACGCGAGCTATCTAGCTAGGAAGCAAGCGACGAACCCGCGGAAGCTTTCTGGGATTTTGGGACAAATGACGGGATCAAGCGTTCTCTAGTCGCAAAAATTCACGATACCATTGCAATTGACTACTCGAAGCCACATAAGGTTCACGACGAGCACTGGAAGCCAACGTTGAGTCATGACGAGTGCCCTAGTTGTGGTGCAATTGTGATTTGAGGACTGGGAAGCCAACGACGGGATTACTCATGATTTAAGCTAACTAGGAAGCCACTGTCTATAGGAGTTTCATTTTTTTAATAAAAATTGTCTTAAGAATAATGACAACCAAGAAAATTGATGCTTTGAAGGAGAAATTGGAGGAACAGGTGAGTCAAATTTGATTTGGAATAGAGAAGCATTTGTCATCATGGAGGAGAGATTTTTACTCATTCTTCTGAAGTAAATGATGAAGAAGATCGTAGAGTTTCATGCAAATCGGCCGCTGACCGTTGTCGAATCAAGCGATGGTGTCTGGAGGGGGCGTGAGCAGCATCAATATTAAGGTTTTTTGCTACATTAAGATAGCGTAGTTGCCTTAGGCGAATATGGATCCGTGGGATCGAGCGAAGGAATCGGGAGTGGATTTGAGCGAGATCACTTGGAAGGAATTGTTTGACGATAGCTGGAACAAACAAAAGCATGTGGAATTGAGCAAAGGAGCAGGGAGTAAATTTGAGAGACAACATTTAGAGGTAGTTACACATGGAGGTTGGAACGAGCAGGAGCAAGAAGAACGGGACGACGTGCAATTTGGAGCTGGAGAAGATCAATTTGAAGGATTTTGACCATGAACATGGAATCATGGTGGGAAGGACCTCAATTAAGGGTTGAAACCAACCGAGCATGTGTCTTTTGCTGCAGTAGCCATTCTAACAAAAGGAGATTCATGGGCTTGTGGAGGGACGGGCGAGCTTATTATGGCAGTGAGCCATACTTATGGAAGAAGAGAAACCAATATGAGTCGAGGATAGGAATCTAACCCACTTAATGGGTGGAATTAGCTTGGGTCGTAAAAATTGGTGAGGAGACTCATATATAAGGAAGTTGAATATGCCGATTTTTTAAAGAAATGATGTTTATCTTTGGGTTTATCAAATAGAAAAGACACATGCTTCTAAATTGGAGGAGATTTTAACACCGATCCAACAGCTCCTACAATAATTTAAAAAGTTTTCAGTTTTCATGCGGATTGCCTTATGTAGGAGCTGCAATAATATTGTAGGAGTTGTTGAATCGGTTTTTCCACCTCAGTTGTCACGAAGAACTATAAGGAACACATGCATGAAATAACCCTGAGATTGAGTTGCCCATAGTTTTGTCCCTAAGTACAAAAGGACGATATCGAGAGATTGATCCGAGAGATGTTAGGGGCCAGAATCATACAACTTAGTGTGAGCCCCTTCTCTAGTCCAAGCTTGCTAGTGAAGAAGATAGATGGGAGTTTGCATTTACGTGTAGATTGTCGGGTAGTGAATGAGGAAATAGTATCTGGCAAATTTCTCATCTCGATGATTAATGAGCTATGGGTTGAGTTGTTTGGGGTTGTGGTATTTTCCAATATTGACTTGAAGTTAGGATAACAACAAATTTGGATGCAGACGAAGGTTGTGCGCAAGATTGCATTTCCAACTCATGAGAGTCGTTGTGAATTTCTAATTAAATGAAAATGATTGTTAGATTATGACATTACATGGGATCCATATGACTTGATCCACTAGTAATTTCTTTTTTTTTTCACCATGAGGGCATTGTGTCAGGAGGTGAGTAATGTTAAACCGGTTCCCAATGACAATTTAGTTTTTTATTAGTTATTATTTTGAGGTATAAATAGGGCTTATTATGCTTTGGGTTTGGTTATGCTATGAGATTATTGCTTTGACTCTTAAGATTTGGGTGTGGAAGAGATCGCTTACCTCTCAAGTTTTAGGTATTAGGGTTAAGCTTAGGGAGAGGTTGCCTACCTCTCGAATTATTGGTGCTTATATGTATGTATTTAAGTCACGTTGCTTGGCGTTATTAAATATTTGATTGCCCTAATATCGATGGAAAACTCATTTGATGTGTGCTTCCAACCATAGGATAGCCATCAGCGGGACAATTACAATGAGAGCCCTGTGACTCTCAAATGGTCGTGGCAAGCGGCTTGCACTTCACCAACTCATATATCAAGGTGATCTGTTTACATAGATCACAAGTGTTGTTCAATGGAGCGTTGCATTATATTAAGTGGCTACAATGGGCGGGATGTTTGTCATTAGTTATTGTGAAGGAGGTTTGTTGTCAAAGAACACATGTATAAAGGAGTGCCGTTTGGCCCCTAGATCGTTAATATTGAGCTTCATATCCATTGCGAACTGTTATGACGAGGTCGGTTTTGCTGATTGAGTGCGTAATTGGACACTTGATGGAGTAGAACTAAGTACAAAGAGAGTTAAACTATTTTTAAGACTATTGCAATGAGTGATGCAATCAATATCATCTTAAGCAAAATTTAAGTGCAACATGGCGTCAAGCAAGACAGTTGTTAACAAGTGCAACATGGTGTCGGTGATTATGAGAAATTTGTTTAGAGCTTTTTGAATCATAAAAAAATTTGCCAATTGAAATAAAAAGAGATTTTTCTATTTTTAGTGGTTTTTTTAGTCTTTGTTAGGAATATTTGCTATAATTATCCGTAATAGGCAGTGATTTTTTTAATTCTATGATTGGATTTTGATAAATAATGATTTCATACGATGGTTCAAATTAGTGATTTAAACATCCCATGTTGTAGGAGGCACCCATGTGTGTTAGTGGTGATAAATCATATTTTTAACAAACAAATTGATGGTAATCATGCTACAAAGGTGCAATATATATGATACGAATAAGTGATAATATCTCATCATTTTTATACTAATTAATTCCTCTCCCTGATAGGAGCATTTTGAGATTAACTTGTTAAATGATGAGATGTAGCACATTGATCAATTTTCTTTTTTCAGTTCTACTTTTTCGGTTAGCATTGATCTCTCTGCACCTACCAAACTTCTCTCAACCCAACTAAATTAGATAATTGTCTTCCTTTCCAATCTTTGGAACAATAAATTTCTAAATATCTATAATCTATACTTCTATCTTATATTGCCCATTGTCCCAAATTCATTGCCAATTAAAACCATGGTATGAATCTTCCAAATTTACAGGAATCAGAGTGGCTTAGAATAACTCTCCATAAATGGCTGGATGATGAGTACTGCCCTGAGCCAACCAATTTTAAAATCAGCAAGCTTGCTGCTCAATCATACTATGAATCTCTGATATCTAAGGAGACCGATCTCGGTGAGATTCTACTCAAAATTGTGAGAAGATTGGAGACTATATCCTTCCAGCAAAGCTTCCATGGATCTTTCTCATCAGCAAATGCAGCAGTTCACTTGATTACCCAGCGAATAGATTCTACAGCTGAGCAGTAACATTCAGTAGATAACACAAAAAATGAGAAGGTAATAAGCATTTATTTTTGCTCCAGCAAATAATTATTAGGAATTGATTTCTGGAAACTACTTATTTTTTGGTTTTTGAAATTTTAATGTGCACTTGTGGTATCTCTTTTCATATATATATGATGATATCAACTATGTTTATTGGGTTCATTTGATTGTTGATAGATACAGAAGCATGCTTTAGGAATAAGATAATATAATTTTTACTCATTTTATGAGCGAAAATAAAATCATGGTACTTAGGAGATTTTGAGACTTTTTATTTTGAAATCCATATAAAGTTCTACTTATGTTTAACCATATGATGGAGCTTATAAATTTTGACATTGTTTTAATGCAACCTTATAAAGCTTTTTAAGCTAAGCGCACAGAGTATAGATAAATATCACAGTTTTAGTAATTTGTTAAAAAAACAAGACTTTGTAAGGTTTGTGCATATGCATTGGAACTTCTAAATATCTTACAAACAACAACAACTAACTCTATTTTATTTCAAAAGTTAATATTATAAGATCTTCCCCTCACCTAATCTTGTACATTAATTTGCTTGACGTAGTCTATATATATATTTTCTTAAAGCAAAGGCTCAAAATAGTCTTCAGACTATCAACTAGTGATAAATTTAGTCACAGAGTTTTAAAGTACTCCTTTGTAGTCACGGACTATTAAAAATTGATCTAAATTAGTCCTTAGATTGAATTTCATTGTGAAACACTACTCATTAACTTTGAAGGTATTTTAGAAATGAAAATTTATTTTATTATTACTTTATTTTTCTTATCTTATAAGCTTATTGTTAAATAAAATATTTTGTTATTATTCTATTTATTTTAGTATTAAATTATTTCTATTTTGCTATGTTCAATTGATATATATGTTTTTTTTTTTATTTACTTGACATGCTTGCCAACTATAAACTTTGAAATAAAGAAGAGATTAGCAGAAGAAAAAGAAGATGGAGGGTGAGAGGTAGAACCAGCAATTTACTTCATTTATTTTGGATACAATTAAAGGACCATACAACAGACGCATTACATATACAACTCTTATATAGATGAGTAGAAGATAGGAAGCACATAGGCAATATTCTCTGCTATGGTTTGTTAGGATATTATACTCGTGACGTTGTAATCAGGAGAGGAAGTGGTGGTCCAACCATACAATAAACATAAAGCAATATTACACATATAATGGCATAATTGATTCTAATATTACCCCCCTTCAAGCTGAGGGGGTCTCGACAGTGAGCTGAAGCTTGGAGCAGTGGACTTTGAACCATTGCTTATGAAGTGATTTAGTGAAGATATCCGTTGGTTGATCCTGGGTATGGATATAATGAAGTTGTAGAGCCTCCAGACTGAATTTGTTCTCAGATAAAGTGGTTGTCAATCTCTATATGCTTTGTGCGGGCATGAAAAATCGGGTTGTTGGCGATGGTCATAGCTAAAATATTGTCACAGAAGAGAGATGTTGATTCTTCCTGTGGAATATCAAGTTCAGTAAGTAAACGACCAAGCTAAATAAGGTCAGCAGTTGCAGCCGCCAATGCCCGATATTTGGCTTTGATGGAAGAACTAGCAATCGTAGTTTGGTTCTTGACAGTCCATGAAATTGGTGTGGCACCCAATAAGGTGCAGAAACCCGTGACTGATTTTCGGTCTATTGAGTCTCTGACCCAATCGACGTCAAAATAAGTTCAAAGGATAAGGGGTGCATGCGAGATTTTGAGAGCCATACTGATTGAGCCTTTTAAATAGCGTAACATGTGTTTGAGGAGTTGGTGGTGATAGACCAGCGGAGCCTGCATGTGTTGGCAAAGATAGTTGACAGCAAATGCAATATCCAGTCGCGTAATTGTAAGGTATTGAAGTGCACCTGTGATTTTCCTGTATTCAGTCGGATTAACATATGGTTCGTTATGAGCCGGATTTTCATATCGCTTTGCAGGAAGTGGGGTTGCCACTGGTTTGCAGTCTCTCATTGTCGTGTTCTGTAGAATGCGGTGTAGTTATAGGTGCTGAGAGAGATACATTGAGTTTTGTGTGCGATGGACGTGGATGCCCAAAAATATTGAAACTTCACCCGAAGACTTAATTTGGAACGTAGCTTGGAGCTGTTGGATGAGGCTTTCGATAGCTTTGGTGTTGTCTTCTGTGATAATCATATCATCTACATAGATTAATACAAATATTTTATGTGTGGTTGTCAAGGAGAGTGGCAGCGATGGGTCTACTTTGCTGATATGAAATCCTCGTTGGATAAAAAATGCAGAGGTAGTTGTAAACCGTTGTTCAGGCGATTATTTAAAGTCGCATAGTGCTTTCTTTAGTAAACACACATGGTGGGGAAAGTTTGGATCTTTGAAACCTACCAGTTGCTCCATGTAAATTGTGTCTTCAAGGTTTCAATGCAAAATGACATTGACCACATCGAATTGGAGTAATGGCCACTGTTTTTTAAAAGCAATGGTAAAAAGTGTGCAGAGAGTAGTCATTTTTGCAATTGGGCTAAATGTTTGGACATAATTGACACCAAATTCTTGTTTATAGCCTTGTATCGAGTCACTGGTCCATCCGGATGGAATTTGGTATTGTATGTCCAGTGACACCCAAGAGTCACTTGATTTGGAGGGAGAGGAACTAAGTCCCAGGTACCATGTGCCTGAAGAGCGTGGATTTTCTCTGGCATGGCTTTGCGCCAATGAGGGAGCTTGACAGCTCGGCTAAAGGAGGTTGGATTGGAATTGTGTTGTAGTTGGTGAGAGAGGTTAAGCTTTTGAATGGGTTTTATAGTTCCCGTTGTTGTTCGAGTAATCATGGGGTGGGAAATATGTGTTAATGGAAGGATATTAGGGGTGATCTCAAGGAGATGGTGTGGTGACGGTATGTTGGAGGAGGAAGGAGCGGCAAGTTGGGGTGATGGTGTGGGTTTTATAGTTCCCGTTGTTGTTCGAGTAATCATGGGGTGGGAAATATGTGTTAATGGAAGGATATTTGGGGTGATCTCAAGGAGATGGTGTGGTGACGGTATGTTGGAGGAGGAAGGAGCAGAAAGTTGAGCTGATGTTGTTGTAGTATGGGACGGGAAGGTAAGGACAGAGGTCGGTGGACTTGCTGATGTTGTTGGGTTGATGTTTGATGGAACGTGTAGAAGAGGATTGGTCCACAATTGAGGTGGTGCAAGTGGGTTGTTGGGTATAATTTGGAACGAAAAAATGTTTTCATGAAATATAGCATGTTTGGATATCATAATTTTGTTGGATACATGGTTGTAGCATTTGTATCATTTATGTGTTGGAGATTAACCAAGGAATACACATGGTGTAGAGCGAGGTGTAAGTTTGTGAAGTGTCATATGCTTTAGCCAAGGGTAACAACAACATCCAAAGACTTTTATATGCAAGTAGGTTGGAGGGTGTTTGTATAGTTTTTCATAGGGGGGAGATGAAGTTGTTAGCCTTGGAGGGCATACAATTAATGAAATCGAGGGCTGTTTCGAGGGCATCAACCCAAAAATTTAAAGGGATAGATGCATCATGGAGGAGCATTCTGATGGTTTCGATAAAGAGGCGATGCTTACGTTCGACGACACTGTTTTATTCCGGTGTGTATGGGCAAGAGAATTGGTGGAGAACTCCTTCTTGGGATAAGAAGGCTTGGAGAGTGGCATTATTGTATTCCCCTCCTCCTTTAGAACGTAAAAGGGGAATGGTTATTTGGAATTGAGTTTTGATCATTTTATGAAGTGTATACATTTTCGAATTGTTTCAGATTTATGTCTCATTGGAAATAACCAACAGAATTTTGAATAATCATCAATGAAAACAATATAATATTGGTACCCTTAATTAGATAAAATTGGGGAAGGTCCCAATAGTGAATAAGTTGCAAGGGTAAATAAAAATGCAAAGACATTGAAGGAAAAGGGAGTTTGTGACTCTTGTTACAATGACAACTTTCAGATGACAAAGGAGTTGTTGAAATTGCGAGAGATGGATACTTTTTGGAGATACGATGAAGAATGTCCACGTGAGGACCCAAACGTTGATGTGAGGATCGTTGATGGTTGTAGCAAAGGCTTTGTGGGATAGTTCCAAGTTAAAAGCGGGAGCCGTAGTGGGGATTGAGTACAGCCCTTTCGAACTGTTCCATGAAGTATTATCCGATTTGTTAGGGGATAAAAAATATGAAAGCCAGTTGAATTAAAGACAATGGAGATATTATTAAAAGCGGTTAATCTTTGTACGGAGAGAAGATTATGAGTAAGGGAGGGGGAATGCCAAATATTAGAGAGCTTAAGCTTAAGCTCGGGTGTCCGAAGGATACCATCACCGTGATGTTGAACCGGTATGGATTAACTGTTCCTGCGAGTATTTTTTCAGCTCAGGTGGCCGACGTAGTTGTCTTTTGATGACTGAAATATGATGCTAAATGTGTCGTCGCTCCGGTATCAAGAACCCATGGTGTGGTAGAATCTTGGAGAGCACGGTTGGATGGTACATACTCAATGTTTGGACGGTGCCAATGGGTAGCGACGGACTGACTACTTTATGACATATTTGACACATAATGGAGGATTTTGGTTGAGATCGTCCACCCTTCATTCACTGGTTGGAGTTTTGAGTTCTACCTCGACCACGAGTGGCATTTCAGTTGCGATCACATGTAGCCGCAAGAGCAAGTTGTGGATTGGCTGCAGGTTTCGCCTTAAGTGTGTCATTTAGTTGATTGATCTTTTCACTACACATTAGAGAATATAATGTATGGTTAAATTTGAGTTTGCATGGCTATTTTAAATGTTTGGTATTGCACCGGTAGAGCATTAATACCATTAAGTGTATACAGAATCACATCCTCATTGTCTAAATGGCCTCCTGTGGCGGTGATGTTGTCAACTTCCATTTTAATTTTGGCTAGATACTGTTGCATGGAGTGATTGTTCATCGTCATGTTGTGTGGCTCATTTTTAAGTTGGATCAGTCGAGATCTATTAATTGGTTGAAGGCTCTATGATATTGTCTGCCATACATCTTCTGTAGTGGGAAGATGAAGTATGTATGGAAGTATAGCTGGTGAAATAATTGAGTAAAGAGCAGCTGTGAGGTTCTGATCTACAAGTATCCACATAGTGTTGACAGGGTTAAGCAATTGGGTGGTTGTTTCAGAGCCAATGAATCGAGTCGGACAGGGATTGTTGTCGTCGAGATACCCAGGAACCCATTAGCACAAAAAAATTTGATAACTTGAGCTTTCCACAGTGGATAGTTATAAGAGGAGAGCTGTGTGTGAGTAATATTTTTAATATTACTCATCAGGAACTTGAGGTTAGGTGGAATACCAGGTACTTCACATCCTTGCCCATTTTCTGTCGAAGAGTTACCCTCCGTCTCTGAAGCCTGTGACTTTGCCATGGCTGAGGTCGTCTCGCTTGATATGAATGGGAGAAGAAGCTCGCTAGAGCAAGAACTGCTCTAATACCATATATACTTTGATATAAAGAAGATATAAGCAGAAGAACAAGAAGAAGAAGAAGAAGAAGATACAGGGTGAGAGGTAGAATCAGCAATTTACTTCATATATTTTGGATACAATTAAAGGACCATACAAAAGTGGTGGTACAACCGTACGATATGCATAAAGCAATGTTACCCATATAATGGCATAACTGATTCTGATATTACCAAGAACATGAACTGTCATACATGCACATGAACTATTTTATTGATGTCATGCCATTCATAAATAAACACAGCTTTCAATGATATAAGTTCCAAGTGTACATGTTGATTTTTTTTTCTATATAATGAGTTATGTGTAGGTTTAAGAGTGCTTTATGGTGCTATTATTGCAGTATCTGGTTTCAACAAAAGGCGCGAGGAGACGGAGAAGCATATGTTGTTATTCTGAATGTTAATACTTTGATGTGTAAATGACCTCCTTGTAACCATTGTCTAGCAGCAAACAGTCAATTTTCTCCATTTTGTTACATCCATGTCTTCACTTTTTAACTCTTTAACCTTGGGCAGCTCTTTCGTTTGGTTGTGATATGATGTCATTGCTAGCTATTATTTGAATCATGTTTATGCATTTTTGACTTGGTAGTATGTCTACAACGATACTAATTATGAGTTTTTTATTTCATTTATAGTGCAAATATGTCTGAACTTGATCTTTCGCAATCTGAATCATCTAGCAATAAGCTGATAGCTATACCAGAAGCTCATAATAGCAACGAAAATGTCAATCTTACTTCGCAAGGTTCAGACCCAAAAGAAGTTCCTCATGTTGTCATAAATAATAACATTGAAGAAGTCACTACTAAGAAAGGTAGGAAGAGAAAGTCTACAGTATGGGAGCATTTTATGAAGGCTACATTTCCAATTAAGGGGGTCGCAACTTCTTTTTGGCAATACAAATGTTGTCGATCGAAATTTCATAAATCTAAAACAGGAACCACTTCTCAACTTCTACGTCATGTTAGAGAATGTGTACAAGTCAAAGTTAAAAGCAAGGAAAACGATGATCTCTCTGAAAAAAAAAAAAAACTGTTAAATTTTATGCCACTTGAACTTGGTGCAGATATTGAGATCCCAGTATTTCATGATT